CGAAATAGGGTGAATACATCTCATTACACTGATTTACTGGTAGTCTCGAAACCCTACTTTAATATAAATAAAAGTTGCCTAATTTCTTCATAGCTGGGTCAGCAATTATTCTTTCTTGCATTTCCTAAGGATCTGACTAAAATTTTTCCGCAAATAAAGTCATTTAGTATGAAAACTACCATTTTATTGAGTAAAATTACATCATCCGAAATAATTTTATAAAAGAATGGCAAGTTAAATGGAGAATCTAATATAGGTTTTTGTTTATCTCTTGTTTTAAAAAATTGCCATTCAATGTAAGTCATTACAAGTGACAATATATATTGACTTTTCTTTTTGGGCTGAGTCATGCAATTTAATTTTTTTCCGAAATGTGTAGAGACCTTTTTAATCTAATCCAAGTATTTATTTAAAATAGAAACTGAAGTAAATTATTTCAGTGAATTATTATATCCGTTTGCCGACAAAGGATGTGGTTTAGAACTTGATTTATTAAAAATTATTGAATGTATGAAGACTAGGATAGTGTGGCCTTTTGTATTGTGACGGTCTATTTTCATTGTATCGAAATTGGTGAACTAGTTTTCGTAACTTAGTCATAATGGCAGGAAGACCTTGACGTGAACTTGGCACTTTTCCATACGTTTTGCCGGCATCGTCAGTGAAACGTTTGAGAATGTACAAAGTCCAGTGCTTGGAATCATGACAACTACTATGGCAGACGACTTTGGACTAGGTGCGTTCTACTAAGTCGCCTTGTCGACAAGACCAAGTCACGACAACGAGGTCAACCCATTTCTATAAATTGAAAGGAGACAGCAAACATACCAGAGACAACAACATCTTGGTCTTCATATCTTTAATTAAAGTACGGTAGTAAATTTGTCAAACAATGCACTTAATACAGCCGGACAAAGAAGACAATTGTAATTCAATCGTCCCATCTGACTTTTATAAACTGTTATAAACATTATGGTATCACTCCTAAGTTCTGTGACCTTAAGAGACCCTACTACTCGGATAAGGTTAATGAGTATATCCACCAGGTTTATATTCAAAAACTAAGTTAGACTAAGTTGTTTAAGTTTATAGATATTAAGTCAAGTCTTCGGCGTGATTTGGCCAGGATCCTGTTTCCAGAAGATTTTCAAAAACTCCAGAGCATTACCAACAGGAAATCACGTTGGATTTCTGAATTAATAACAAAATGGCATGATGATAAATTGCGTAAGGCAGCCTAAGTTAAAGCCAGTACGCCTAGTTGAAGTGGCTTCCAAGGTGACAAAACCTACTGATCAGCACGAGGATCGGAAAAAGTATTAAGCCTTTCATCAATTCGTCTCAATTCCGAGACATATGCGATACTGGAAAAAAGACTCAATTTTTCAATTCAACATCACAGATGCCTTCTAGGAACATCCTAGTGGAGGTCATCAATATCGCCGACAAGTTCCCTGAGGAGACAAAACGGGAAATGGAGATGGAACTAATTCCAAATAACTTGACACATCAGGAGCCTGCACACAGAAACAGATTTGCCGTGATACGCAAAAATTTGGAATCGAATGAACAATTAGTCCTTCAGGCGGACAAAGAAGGATCTACAGTGATAATGGACAAAAAACAATATGCCAAGAAGATGGAATATATTCTACGAGACAGAACCACCTATCGTATACTAAACAAGGAGCCAACTATGATGATCAATGGAATCGTATGTGCCATGCTGAAAGATATGCATATGAATAGGGAAATTGACGCATGGACAATAAATTCAATAAAAAAAAGGATTCACGACCACCAACAGAATACGGATTAACGAATATACACAAAAAAGACGACCCACTAAGGCTGATAGTCAACAACATGTATGGAGAAACACACAAATTAACAAAGTGTATATTTTTGAAATTCAAGAAACTTTCATATGAATTTTCTCGAAAAATTAAAAACATGGCACTTGAAGAAATGGACTTATCGTTATGTTTCTATATGGAATCCATGTATACAAATACCTCTGAAGAAAATGCGCTAACGGCCCTGCTGGAAATCCTTGACCGAGAGGAGGATATCATGGAATCACAACGAATCAGGAGGGAGTCGTTAACAAGACTAATTAACTTGACAATAAGGACAACCTATTTTACATTCAAAGGGAACATCTATGACCAACTATCTGGACTTCCCATGTGATCGCCGCTCTCACCACTTTTGGCAAAAGTTAACATGAACAAAAAAGTAGATGGCATCGCTACAACCGGCAGTGCTCATCCGGTACCTGGATGATTACTTCGCACTTTGGTCACATGAAAAAGAAAAACTAGAAGAGTTTCTGAAATTTGTAAACCAGATTGATGAAAAAATTCAATTCACGATGGAAGTAGAGGAAGGTGAGTGGTTACCATTCCTGGACGTTTAAGTGATTTAGTCCAATTGGGCAGTCAAAAAAATTGTTTAGTAAGAAATCCTATGCTGGGATAATACTCAATTTCCGGTGACATCACAATTGCATACTAAAGATAGGAATAATGAGGAGCAGGATCATCCGAAGCATACACCTAACAGATAAAGAATTCTGGGAGGAGAGGCTGGACAAATTGACGGGGATATTCCTCGGCAATGGCTAGCAATCGAAGTAATATAAAGAAACATACGGGCCGTTAAAAGCTGATGCCAGAACGGAGACTAGGAAAGGACAGTAAGGACGATAAAGGATTCACAAAAGTGGATATGCCTACCTTTCTGCGATCTAACTGAAAAACTACGGCCTACATTAAGGAAATTGAATATTCAGTTGGCCATGAAAGAGAAATCAACACTTTTCACAAGTCTACCGACGCACCACTTCTATAAATCGAAAGGAGACTACGACCATAACAAAGGCCACAACATCATGATCTTCATATATTCAATAAAAGGGATTGTTCAGGAGTTTATTTTATATCATGCAGCGCCTACGAACAGAAATATAATGGCTAAACAGGGAGAAAAACTAGCATAACATACGGTGACAACACAAGGAAGCGGAAGATTAAGGAGGTCATTGTCATCCTTGGGGAGTAAAATCTAATGATTAGGATATTGGAGGAAGGTAGAGTTAGCAATAACTTTGACTACTGCTTAAGCAACCTCGGGGAAAACAAGAATAGAACAAAAACAGAAAAAAGGAGACTCCTGGATCAAGGATCTACCGCTAACTGGAGAAAAAGGGATCGCAAGGACGAATGTGGGGTGCAGGGGTTTTTGTCAATAAAGCGAAGACGTCGTCAGTGAGTGATGCCCATTTCGAATCAACCAGTTCAGCTTACGGGGCCTGGTAGTCAGGGTCCTTGGCAGATTGATAAGCAAATCATCACGGAAATTCGGCGTTATGCCCAAAATGCACTAGAAATCCACTTGAGATGCCGCATGGGACCAGAGATAGGCGTCCACAGTTTTTTCAGACAACATGGGTTTAATGAAGGAGAGGACCTGTGAAGGAAAGGCCTGATATCTGCAAGTATGGTAATCAAAGTTAAGTCGCTCTACTCAGTGAAGCGGCAGTGTAACTACTTTTAGGGCCTTGAGAAATAGCGCGTAGAGTGAAATGCACACTGGGTCTGGAAGCGAGTGAAATCTGTCAACCCGAAAGATAAGGAACGGATCCACGAGACAATGAAGGGACCCGGATTGGAGGCCAGAGTCGGATAAGCCGATAGAAAGAGAGGGGTCGTGGTAAATAGCAAGTCTGATGGGGCCACACTAGATTTGCCACAAAAGGGCACATATTTTGACGAGTTGAATGTAAACTAGTGAGAAGTTGTGATAGGCGGCACTGGGATAAGAGGGTAAAGAGTAGATAGATAGGTTAGGACAGAAAGATGAGTGATAGTGTAACCGTTTTCGGCAGAACGTTTTTCGAGGGATTGATTTCATTTGCCTCTTACACAAGTCCGTAGCTTGGTGTGGAGAATGGCAAATCTCACTGATGATTCCGACTATGATGCCGGCGAAACGTTTGAGAATGTACCAAGTCCACTGTTTGATGCTGGGAATCATGACAACTAATAAACAGGCGACTTCGGACTAGGTGCGTTCTACTAAGTCGCCCTGTCAACAAGAGCAAGTTGCGGCAACAAGGTCACCCCACTTCTATATAAAGTAACTTATTTCAGTGAATTATTATATCTGTTTGCCGACAAAGAATATCGTAGTTTTAAAACTCTATTCAAATAAAAACTATTGTTTATTAAAAATTATCGAATGTATGAAGACCGGAATGGTGTGGCATTTTGTATAGTGGCGGTCTACTTTCATTGTATAAAAGTTGGTGACCTAGTTTTTCCAACAGTCATAATGGCAGAAAGACCTAGACGTGGACTTGGCACATTTCCATACGTTTCGCCGGCATCGTCAGTAAAACTTGCCATTCTTAGCCCAACATTACAACTCATCAAAGAGACTTGTGTAGTCGATCCTTTGATCAATTGTCTACTAAACGTTTGTGGTATCCCGCATTTTATCCTGGGTTATTGACCTACCTCATATTCTCGTATCCTTCCATTTGATAACACAATTTCTTACTTATTTTTCTATACCTATTTGAAATCTATTCACATTCACCGCTGGTTTCCGCATCACTCCTATTGTGCCGGGAGTGTTGCTCCAAGTCGGCGGTTTAATTCGCAATTCTCTCCCTTCGGATCCTATCAGAGCCACCTTCTTGCCAAATAACATCATTTCCCTGTCTGCCTGTTTCAATGAGTTTACTAGATCGCTACCATTATATCCGTGCTATGTTGGAGACTCTACCTCAAGCCTTTAATAGCACGTAAACACAAGCCTTACTGAGCAAGCCTCGAAAGTCTGGATTCTAAATTGGCAGGGTAGCCTTACTTGACGTTGCAGATGCTCTTATGACTATGTGGTATGTATACCGGGTAGAGCTCGTGGTCAAGCTTTTACTTCACGGTCTGAGTCAATAAGCAAACTTATCTACTAATAACTAACCACCGTTTTTCTCGCTCCTCTATCCCTAATACCAAGTCTATGACATTCTTATGCTCAAGTCTCTTGAGTGTCGACCCACAAATGTCATAGTTATACTTGGTTTGAATTGGCTCACTGTAAACGTCTTCTCTTAATTTCGGATTGTTCTTCTCTGGTCTTCTTGTGAGTTCTTTTTCAAAAATCAAATATATTACCTTTTTCTAGTCGTCTTCTCTATACTGATATTGCTGTTCCCTGACCTTCTCCAAGTATGCTTAGACAGTATGCAAAGTTTTCGTTTATCCTGCCTTCTTCAAGCCTTCTGTTCATTAGATTCCTTTTAGACAGGATATCAATGGCTTCTCGTATCTTACGTTTTCTTGTATTTCCACCATATGTGGCCAGCTTTCTGTCGATTTATACTCGAGTTCGTGTTTTATCCGTGCGATATGTTCTGATATTTCGAATCTTTCAGTGTCCATGTTTCTGCAGAGTCTTTGATGTTTCTTAATTCGTAAGCTGATTTTTCTTCATCTTTCAACATTGTACTTCTACTGACAGTTGCATCATTTGATGCCATAGACTCGCAAGCAATCAAGTTTGTCAGCCTTCTCATGTTGCGTCGGCAGGCTAGCGAAGAGTGTTGATGAACAGAAGATTGGAAGAGGGAAGAGTCGGCGATAATATCGCGTGCTGCTTGGGCATACTTGGAGATTCAGCAAAGACATCAATAGGAAGGCGATCGGACCCAGGACAATAATTCAACAAAAAGAAGAGGCATCACCAAGTGGCGTTTCATGAGGAACAGAGGGAAGTAAAGAAATGTCTACAGCCGTAATAGGAGTCAGACGTGGAATTAGATCAAAATTTACACATGGTATTCACCTGTGCGATCTAGGATATGAAGGTAAATGCTAAGGGTATAGATTAGCTAGATAGCGGTCATGTTTCTGTGTGCTTCGTGTGTATTTTCCATTTCTATGTCGTGAAGAAAGATAAATGATGACAGCTTGACCACCGGGGTATACCAACCAACCAGCATACACACACAGGGACATCATCCCAGTACGCAAGGGTTAGATTTGAATGTCAACTTGAGAGACGAGAGAATGTTTATAGATATTCAAAGGAAAAAAATGGAAGTGGTTCATTCTCAGGTCAGCAGTTATGATCTAATCCGGACTCAGGGCCCCAAGGGATGAGACACAATGTTGGTGGGGATTAGGGAAAGGATAATTGGGTCATGGGTTTAAAGCCTAGGGAGAGGAAGATTCTCAAGCACTGCCATATACATAAGCATGGACATGGGCATAGTCGACTCTAAATCTTAGAATATGGTGTAACCGAGAAATGGAATTGAATACTCTTTGGGAGCCAGATTTCCGTCAACCAAACAGTGATTTGGATGTTTAGCGTCGGCCAACTTACAAGCAGGTATGAGAAAAGAGGGGGCAGAATATAGGCCAGCAGCATGTC